AGGCAAGAGCAGCTGCACGCTGGGTCTGTAGACAGTGGGGGACAAGGCCTTCCCGCCCCTTGTGGTCAAGAAGGCCCAGAGCCAGGCAGCGGCCAGGGGGCTGCTGCCTCTGTCCGGATGTGAGGTGGTCTGTGGACTGTGGAGAGAAGCCGTCTTTATTGTGTGCTAGCCACCTGTGAGAGGGGCTTTTTGGTTTTTAAACCAAGTACAGATCCAGAGAAGGCCGTCGGTTGTTCCGGAGAGACCTGCGGGTGTAGTATGTCCCCCCGGGAGTCCCAGGCAGCGGCGAAGGCGTGAGCTCCGTCCTCCTTCCCCTCCCCCCGGGGAAGGCGCCTGGAAAGGAGTTGGCTCGTCCCGGCTCAGTGCTACTTGGTCTGGAGTGTCACGCTGTCCTTCCACGAAAGGCAATCTCAGCGTCACGGCGCGGTGGCACGGGCTGGCTCTCCGGTACCCTGTCGGTCAGAGGCAGCGAGTGGACAGCCTGGCCCTGTTCTCGTTTTGAGAGAGGAAGTGCTTAATACTTCACTGCGAAGCACGTTAGCCTTAGGTGCTTAGTTCTTTGCGGCTGTGCTTTGTCAGATGGAGCTCTCCTTCTATCATGCTTTACTTAGTCTGCTGAGAGCTTTTTAAAAATCACACTTTGGTGCAACGGGCTTTTAATCCGTGGCAATGATGATTTTAAAATACTCCCCTGAAATAAATCTAATGTATTTATTATGGATCTGCAAAGAATTGAAGTCACACAGCTTTGTCTCTCGTATATGACTCTGCACAGACTTGCTTGATTCGTTCTTGTATCCGAAAACAAAAACGTAAGATTAGCACCCAGGTCTCTGCCTTCCTTATGCTGCGAGGGTTCCCTTTATTGCCATAGGAAGCCAGCGGTCAGTGTGCGCCCCACTGATCAGTTTTCCAAATAAAAGGCATGGTTTTCGCTGGAGCCGAAAAACTGCTACCCTGTCACTTAAGGAAGAATTAAACATCGAACTTCTTGCTTACGAGCCATTCGTTGAAAAACCAAGGATTTCACTGAGAAGGGCTGTGCCCTTGGTGTGGGAGACGGGGTGGCCGTGGGCAGGTTGAGTGGCGGTCAGATCTTTGCCTTAGCACCTTGAGGGCTGAGGTATGGGTCAGATCTTCCGGCCCCTGGAGGCTTGAGCCCCTTCCCAGAGCTTCTGGGTCCCCGGTCCTCCTCACTCTCCCAGTGGGGCCAAGGAAAGGCTACTTGTCAGCGAGGGCCCCCGTGTCCGAGGTGATACCTGTTTGAGGTGACCCCAATATCCAAGGTGGCCCCCACATCTAAGGTGATGCCCTATGTCTGAGGTGTCCCCCCATCCGAGGTGACACCCATGTCTGAGGCTTCACCCCATGTCCTAGGTGACACCCATGTCTGAGACGACAAGGTGACACTTTCTTCAGAGGCCAGCAGGATCTCCCATCGGTAGGTGTGTCATCCAGCTCGTCTTCGGCCCCTGCAGGGTCTCTCGCCCTGTCGCATTTTGTCCCCCAAGGCTGTCACCTCAGCTTGGTTCCGCCAGCGCTGCTGCTGATGCTGAGGGGTAGCCCAGCAGGCACCCCCAGCCCTAGATGTCCCGGCGCAGTGTCAGGAATTGGGGACCGGCAAGGCTGCTCCCCGTCAGGACGCCTGACCTTCAGGGCCGAGGCTCACGGCGGGCACGGACCTCAGGGCAGATGGCTGCGGTTCAGTACGTCCTCCTCACCGTTTTGCTGGGCACGTGTGCGTCCCTGCCCCTTAGTAAAAGACGCCTGACCTCACGGCACAGTGGGAGCCGTGTGGGGCTGTACTACGTCACCGAGGAGAGACAGCCTTGTCTGCAGAATGATCCTGTGGCCCCCTGAGGAGCCTGGGAACCAGGTGGCCAGAGGCCAAACTCCAACGTCCCTCCCGTCCCCAGAACATTCTCCCCACCCAAAGTCTACCTCTGCGGTGTGCGTGGCTGCCAGGTGCCCTCGGCACCGTCCCACCTCCCGTTCGAATTCACGCAGGCTCTCGGGTGGGGACGGCGGGGTGCAAGCCCCTCTCGTGGGCCATGTCCCCTTGTTTGAGTGCAGCCACACCAGCTCTCGGGGCCTCTCGGGAGCTGATAGGGCCCCGCGCCTTCTGCCCAAGTCTCTGCCCCTCAGTGTCCCTCCAGTAGACTCTGCCCTGTGTGTCCTTGATCGCTGGCTTCTCTTTGGAGACCAGTGTGGACAAAAATGGAGTTGTCCCCAGACCAAAGCCTTTTGAAAGCAACAAAGGGTTTGATGGGGCCTCTGTGGGGTGGGAGGCGCCCTTGCTGCGGGTGGTGACAGTCACCAGGCTGAGTTGCAAAGGCCGGAGCCCGCGTAGCTGTGGACCGCGGCACCCTCGAGGCACGTGGGGGCGCCATGCGTGAGCGAAGCCTCTGTGCACCCCACTCCTGCTCCTTCTCGACAGCCTGGCCCTAGGGGGAGGAGGAAGGGAAAGCAGGAGACACCCCAATCCACCCATGGCGCTAGGAGGCTGCTGCGGCCCCACATCACGCAGGCGTGAGTGTAGGGGTGCTTGGAGGACAGACAGGCTCCCCCGGCGTGGCTGCCCCAGCACCGGGCCTCTCCCGGAGCCCCCAGGGCGCCGCCGAGCAGAGTAAGTGGCCAGTGGGGGCGGGCAGGCCTGGGCCCCGCCGCGGGGTCAGTGGTCTGGGCCGGCTGGCATTCCCGCCGAGCATGGGAGCGGGCGCTCAGGGGAATTCAGCATACCCGTCTGGTAGGAGTTCCCTGAGAACCTGGACCAGGACACCCCACTGAGGCCACGGGCAACCCCGAGAGAACGTGCGGGACCCCAGAGAGAGCCCTGACAAGGGGCCCCGGACTCGGAAGACGCCAGGTGACTTAATGCAGGTGGGGCCTCCTCGGCGCCATGTCCTCGGCCTTGCCCCTCCAGGCGGAGGTGCTGCTGGGGTGGAGCGGTCCCCCCAGACCTCTGCTAGGGGCAGCAAGGGGAAGCAAAGACAGGACAGAACTTGCCCCCTTCCCAAACTGTGCGCCTGCGGCTTGGGAACAAAGGGTGGCCAGGAGAACGATGGCCTGCCAAGCCCTACGCGGGGAGCGACGGAGGGGCCTGTGGCTACAGTAGGTCAGCGACTGTTGTGAGGGGGTGTGTAATGGTGGAGGACGGGGGGTGCAAGCAAGACTGTGGAACTGGGAGGCGGGACAAGCCGAGGGCTGGGGCCAGGGGCCTCCTGGGAGAGTAGGGCCTGTCACTCTCTCCTCTGCGGTCCACCCTGCCTAGCTTCCTGTCCCTCAGAGGGTACCGCTGGGGAGCTGGCATGCCACATTCTGACGACACAGACGTGGGCGTGTGAAGGAAGCTCCCGTGGCTGCGGAGTCCGCCCTGAGAGACCAGCACTGGCCCGGCCTTCCCTGCACCCCGCTTGAGCCCTTCAGACCGGCAGAGCGAGGTCCCGTGCCCTCCGCTCCCTCCCGGGGGCACAGGCTGTGTGCTCCAGTCCCCGCACGCTGGCAACGGGGGGAGTCGCACAGCCCCCCGCTTGCTGGACCTGGAGCCCAGGAGGCTGTCACTGACGGCCCAAGAAAGGCCACGGTCATAAATGCTCCTGGGGTTCTTCCCATGTCCCCTCAGTGGGCAGGCCTGAGGCGTAGCCAGTGGGAGGCGGGAGGCAGGACAGAGCCAGCAGACCAATTCCTTGCCCTTTGCCCTCTGGTTTTTCGCTCAGCCGGTCCGGAGGAGCCCCACGGGGCTGAGCATGCACATGCGCTGAGCGTCTGCTTCGCCCCATGTGGCTTGCTGGAGCGGTGGCCAGAGGCAAAGGCCTCGCCCCGTGTTCTCCTCATGTGTCCTTGACGCTCGCTGGCCTGGCGTTGCACCTCCCGAGGACGCGTCCGCTCTCCAGCCTGTCCTCAGGCCGTTTTCCGAGAACTGAAGCGGAGACCCGGATGCCAAAAGCGGGCCCTCGGGGTTCACTTTGGAACCGCGCTGCCCACCTGTCTCCGAGCCACAGGGGCCCCGCTCCTAGTGGAAAGTGGGCTGTGGTAATGGGGCTTCAGCCGCGGCCCGTCTGCGGATGGTTCTTGAGCCAGGAACGGTGTTATGTTTTTTTTAAAGGGAGGCAGCCTACGCGCTGATCACGGGGTTCTCACAGCTACGAAGGAGACCGAAGGTGGTCACGGCCTGACGGGTCCCCTGCTCCGAGGTCGGGAGTAGGATAGGGTGTGCTCCCGGGCCGTGGATGCGGGTGGCCCGGCAGGTGAGCCGAGAATTTCAGTTCCCAGGAGCCTCCTAGTGGGCAGAAGCAGTCCCCCTCCCCTTGCAGGGGACAGGCGGTCCTCACTAGACGCCTCGCCTGGAGCAGACATCTTGCAGAATGACATGTGTCCTCCTCGAGACCTGAACCACTCTGTGGCTCCCACATGGAACCACTCTGTGGGCCCCCGTGGGGCCCGCCCAGGGAGAACCCCCTACACTGTGGGGAGCTGCGGGCCTGGCTAACCTGTGCCGGCAGGACCCAAGGGTCACGTGGCGGTGGCTCTCAGCGTGTGGCAGGGACTGGATTGGTGGCTAGAGGAGCATTCACTGCGATGCGCACGCCTCCGGGACTCGGACCCCCGTGTTTCGGCCCCGGGAGCTGGCCCTGGCTGTTTCCTGGGATGACTCCAGCGCCAGCAGCAGCATAATGACCGGCCCCCTGAGGCGGGACAGAACAACCTTTGCCGGTGTCTGTGGTGTAAGTTCTCCCACCGTGATCAGTTTCAAGCTACCCAGTCAGGCCTCTTACGACAGTGGCAAGTCCACAGCGCAAGCGGAGGCCTGGTCACCCAGCCCGGGTCTCAGTGGCCAACATCGGCGTTTCCTCGGACAGCAGAGTCTGGGGCTGCCCAGTTACAGGGAGAAATGGGTCTCCCCAAGTTTGACACCTAGGAGACAATTTTTCCAAACCCTTTATTTAGAAGATTTAAAAGGCGCCGTTGCTACCAAGTAATCGCAACCCAGTGCCGTGGAGATGTGGGTGGACCCCGGCTTCGTCTGCGGAGTCCGCCACGAGCCCGCGCTCGCGGGATGCGTCATAGCGGCTCTCGCGGTTCGTGGCGGGGGTGCCCGTCCTCACTCGGCACTGCTGCTCTTCGTGGCTGTAGAATCCACCGACAGCAGGAAGGAGCCTGCCCACGCTCCTGTCCCGAGTGAGGGCCCCGCTCAGGGCCGCGTATTGGCGTAAGTCATCGGGGCTCCAGTGAAGGAGAGACGGCTGCCGTGCGTCCCTGATTTTCCCTCCGGGACTGACCCGAGCTCTCCGCATCTCCTTCCTCCCAGCCCCACGCTCAGCGGCCGAGCCTGGAGAGCCGGAGTCTGGGCTGACCTCAGCATTCCAGCCCCAGACCGATTCCAGCCCTCGGGGTCGAAGGCCAGGAGGAGGTCAGCAAAAGTCCCCGTGTCCCTGGCAGATTGGTCCACAGTGCGGGGGAGAGTAAGCACGGCCAGCAGTGGACGAGCTGTGCCTGAGTCCTCCCGCCTTTGCTGTGGAATACTGGCCTGAGTTTATTAAAAGAAGATGGACTTACCTTACAGATAACGGGCATAGATTCATAGTTTGTGTTTTCAGAGGCGTGCGCTGGTGCGGATATGTACTTAGAGAAATAACTAAAAGGACCGTCAAGACTTTTGCAGTGATTTTTCTCTGGGTCGTGAACATGGGTGATATTGATTTTCTTCTTCATATTTTTTAGCATCCTTCGTCTATTCTATAATAAGTATTTATTACATGTCACATATATTTGTATATTCAAATTACAAATTCTATATAACCTGCATTTATATATTATGATAAATATATTTTTTAAACTTTTTAAATTTTTAAAAAATTTTTTACGCCTACAGCACCCGGTCTTCCTAGGTGGTCTCCCATCCAAGGACTCACCAGGCCCGACCCTGCTCAGCTTCCGACATCAGACGAGATCGGGCGTGTTCAGGGGGGCGTGGCTGAAGACGATAAATATTTTTATAAGTGGAAAACATATAGCTTTAAATGTTATAATGTACTAAATTTAAGATAAAAGATGAGTTTTGAATATGTTTCATGTCCGTTTAAATGACTTGCTTTGTGACTCGGGTTATATTAATTGAGATGGAGGATCAGGATGAGAACAGTAAAAATTAAAAGCGCTGAATTCGTCATACTGTGAAGTTCTTAATTTTATTTGATTCGACCTCTATTAATTTTCCAGTTTTGGTCAATAATTAGATAAGTATGAGTTTCATGCTTCTTTACACATCTACTGCTTATAGTTATTGTTCAAACCTCGTAGAAATTATAAGCCGTCTAGAGAGCAAGAGTCAGATAAGAAACGATAAACAAACAAAACCATGCGACGGGTGTGGACCAGGCGCCACCGTGCGGGCGACAAAGCTGAAGCCCGGCCGTGAGCTCGGAGCTGATGTTTGGGGGCTGGGGTCACGCCGCCACGCAACGCTACGCAAGGGCGGACGATAGGACCGTGGCCGTGGACGCACCTGGGAAACCGAGAGGAGGGGACCTGCCGACAGTGCCGAAAGGCCGAGCGGAGCCTGTGCTTTTGGGCTGCGGCTGGTGTACACGCGGCCGTGCGAACGTCACGCCGGAGGAGGACACGCAAGAGGAACGCACCTCTGTGTCTCCCGCTGATCTTTCCGGCTCGCGCGTGGCTCTCTGTGCTGTTTGTACAAACAATTCAGGTCACAGGGTTGCTGCTTCCCGTGCTCTTTCTCATGTGAGTTAAAGAAAAGAAACTCTTGTGAGAATGTTTGCCGAGGGGCCTCACATCCCAGGCAGCTGACAGAGGTCTGGCAGGAGGCTCTTCCTGGGGCAGCAGGGCGGTGTGTTGGGGGGTACCCAGCGTGTGTGGGGGTGGGAGGGGGCGCTCACCCCTTCCCTGTCTCCTGCTCGCAGCTCTGACCTGCCGCCCAGCCCGGTGGGGCCGAGTGTGCCTCTCAGCCACTCCGCAGCCCCTTTCTCCTCCGACACCCCGCACACACCCGGGTTTGAACGTGGGACAGCTCTGCTCATGCTCCACCGCTGGTTAGACCAGGTCCCCTGTGTCATTGGGATGGGGACCCCGAGCCTCTAAATAACAATGTCAATCAGCGCCAGGTGGGGGCCGAGGAGTGGGCATCCTGGCGACCACCTGGCGGGAAGTCTCCACCTGTTCCCAGCTCTCACTTTCGGCCCGTGCCCGAGATGGGGACACTGCACGCCCAGGCCCTGCTGGGGTCCCCAGCTTCCGCTCTTGCCCTCTTCTCCGTCCTCCGACCGCCGCTTGGCGGCTCTGGCCGGCGTCCGGCCTGGGACTGAGTTCTTGCCCCCTCGGGCTCCAGGATGGGGAGTGTTCTCCACATCTTTGCGGAACGCACTCAGAATGAAACTTATTTCCCTCTTTCTCCGAGGATGAGCTTCGCCTCTTTCTATTGATATTTTTTCCCCTTTTATTCCCATTTCTCCTCCCTACCCCTCAATATCCAGGTCATCAAGATTTCAGGCCACATTTATGTAACTGCAGAGAAAACTATGCCCTAAGACGCTCACTGCAGATCGCAGGCGATGCTTCTGAAACTGGGAATTGCCCCACCCAGTCTTGGGAGGGAGGGCGGGCTGAGGCCACATGACACCTGGAAGAGCCATGTCTGACCCTGGTGTCTGTGGGCCTCTGGCCGCACGGCCGTGTGTGTGTGGTGTGTGTGTGGTGTGTGTGTGGTGTGTGGTGTGTGTGTGTGCGTGTGGTGTGGGGGGGTGGTGTGTGTGGTGTGTGTGT